AGCCTTCATCCACCCAGGTCTGAGACAATCCACAGCCAGGACGGGACCCTCCATGCAAAGAGCGTCCTGCTGCGATTGTCCCTGGCGGCGCTGAATGATGGGCTTTTGTTGTTGCAGGTGTGATGCGGGGGCAGTGGTGGCCACTACGGTTCGTCAGTGATTCAAAGACGGGGGAGCATAGGTCATGGTTGGGGGGGCTAGTTTCAGTAAAAGCCTCGTCAAGGCTTCAAGTTTCATAGTGCCATCGCCATGGGGCATCCGCTCGTTGGATTCGTTTCCGCTGGGCTCCATGAGAAGATTGTGCGCGACGGCTGCCCTGGGAGAAGCTGTGATGTTGAACCTTCATACGACACACTCATCACTCCGAGGATTGAGCTGAGGCTGAAGCTCCTTGAGTGACGTGTCTAGCCAGGATACGGTTTCAAAACATGTGATAGGGTTTAGGGTTTAGGGTTTAGGGTGTATGGTCCAGACTCTTTTTTGGCTGTGGCGTTAAGCGGCGCAGCGGCAGCATTTCCCACGATGGCAAATGTGCACACAAATGGACGCCCGTGCTTCCCATTGCCAACAAATCCTCATAAACCTTCGGCTTGGTGGACAGGGCAGTTGTAGTAACCCTAAACCCTAAACCCTAAACCCTAAACCCTAAACCCTAAACCCTAAACCCTAAACCCTAAACCCTAAACCCTAAACCCTAAACCCTAAACCCTAAACCCTAAACCCTAAACCCTAAACCCTAAAGCCAAGGCAGTAGTTGATGCTCGAGGGCCCGAGGGTGGGGAGGGTTTTGCGGTTTGAGATCGAGGCGAGACTGTTGTAGCAGCAGAAAAAATGCCAAAGCTAAACTGGTTTAGGGTCTAGGGTCTAGGGTCTAGGGTTTAGGGTTTAGGGTTTAGGGTTTAGGGTTTAGGGTTTAGGGTTTAGGGCTGCTAGGTAGGCCTTTGGGACATTTGATAATTTTCCCTTACTTGGTCTATGAGGATCGTATTCAGGAATGTTTTGGAGAGGGCTTTAAGGGCCACCCTAGTAAAACCCGCCAAAACTTTTGCGGTGTGCCTTCTTGGTGTATGCTTTGGGGGGGTTTGGGGGGGTTTGGGATACTTCACACTAAACCCTAAACCCTAAACCCTTTTTCGGATTGTCTGCTTTGGAATGGCACATCTTCTCGAAACTGCTCGAAGCATATCTTGGGACCAAGAGCCCACCCAGAATGGGGTGTAGGGTTTAGGGTTTGGGGTTTAGGGTTTAGGGTTTAGGGCAATCCTCATAACAAGGACTGTGGAGTTGGGATTCCAACTCTTGTGGTGACCCAGGATCCAGGGTTGAAAAATAGTTTAGGGGGTTTAGGGGTTTAGGGGTGTATAGGGGTTTATAGGGGTTATAATTATAGGGGTTTAGGGGTTTAGGGGTTTAGGGGTTTAGGGGTTTAGGGGTTTAGGGGTTTAGGGTTTAGTCCAAGCTTTACGTAAGCAAAGGTGACGACACAAGAAGAAAGACGAGATGTGTGTGTGTGGAGGAGGTCTCCGTCAGTGCAAGGGAGCTTTCTGCTACGAGTACGTTGGGGCTCTAGGACACAATGCTTACTGCGGCGTTTGTGTCAGATGCGCGGGCGGTGCATTTGTTTAGCCTTCTCTCAGTCTGTTGCAGTTTATGCGACTTCTTGCAGGCAAGCGATATTGCTCAAGCATTGCTTGCAGCAAGGGTGCCAGGGCTGTGCCAGTGTCGACAGAAAGTTTACTGTACATCGAGCCATATTGCTCGGAAATAGAGAAGGCGGCTCCACATGTCCAAAGCAACTGAATACTTAGGGGTACTTGGAAATAGTTTCTATTTTTTGGGTACTATACCTCCTAAGAAGCAGCCAAAAAAACTGCTTGGGTTCCAAGTTCAGTATAGTGAAGCCTAGCCAGCGCTTCCAGCTCTGGAACTTCTCGGCTTTTGCAGCCGTCCCCAAAGGCGAAACACCTCAAATCCCCCCCCCCCCCCCGCCCCCCGGCCACCCCAAACAAAAAAGGGTATAGGGGGGTATAGGGGGTATAGGGGGTATAGGGCGTATAGGGGGTATAGGGCGTATGGGGGGTATGGGGGGTATAGGGGGTATCTAAATTCTCAGGCTCGAAGTCAGGGCAACGAAGCTGGCGGGAGCCAGAGGGCCCAGCGTTTGACTGTTTATTTCTAGGCAGGCCTAAGTAACCAGATTCACAAGGCACGCTCAGGCATCCTGAGTGGATTTTTCAAAAAGGCGTTGGAGTGCATGCAGCCTTTGAGCCAATGGCAGGCACTTACCAGAGATAAATGCCCTAAAACCCTCGGCCTTGACACGCTTGGGGATGTTGAGTTTAGGGTTTAGGGCAAGCCATTGTGAAGGATGCATGTGAGCAGACTCTGAAAGATTGAGTCTTAAACGCCACACAGCCGTAAAATCCAAGCTCCAAGCTGGACTCGGATTTGTCCTGGGATTTTATAAGCTGTGGGGTGCCAGCTTTGTACAAACAGCAGAGATGGCCGGGTGCCGAGACCGTCTCGGGATCCGCAAGGCAAGCAGGATCCCGGGATGTGTCCCAAACCAAGAGGCATGCTCCGGGGTTAGATTGTATGGAGATTGAAGGAATACCGCCCCCCGTTTCCAAGGCCCGACTCTAGGCTATGCCCAACCTCTACCAGGCTTACGGGTAGGCTGCTTCCAGGCCCGCAAGCAACCTGCCCCCACCCAACACACCTACCCACGGGCCTGCTTTAAGGCCGCAGGCAGGCCCGCCAGGCAACCCACCACAGGCTTGCAGCTATGCCACCCACACCCTCTTACGGAGCAGGCTTGTGTGCAGCCTGCAGCAGGCCTGTCGTAGGCCTGTGCTAGCCTGCATGTAGGCAGACCTCCAAGTAGCCTGTGAGTAATCTGGGCTGGCTGGGCCAACACTAGTACGTTACCATAGCTGTAGGTAGCCCAGAACTTCACGCTTTCGACCGACCACATCGCGCTCCCGTGTTTGTTGCTTCCTATGGGGGGGAACTTTTGTGGAAATTGAGGGCTTCAGGAAATCCAGGAGCATCCTTCTGAGAGCTGGATGATGCAGAAATGTCTCCTTGCAGCGTGTTATCAGCAAGCTTCACAAACCTAACGAGGCCCCAGACCCTTCTCAGTCTGTTGCAGCTGCAGTTTCGAGGCCTATCGGGCTTAGGTTGACGAGTCACTTGCTGTTGATTTGAGCTTTCCTGCAAAATCCTTGCACCATCCGGCCTGGACAATTCCTTCCACTATACGGCTAGACGGTCATAGTTTGGGATGTTTAGGAATCGGGCTCATAAACTATTGGCCCGAAGGCTGTTTGGAGGTTGTCTCTAGATTGTTTCACATAAATTTCTTATCAGATCACATTCACAAGGAACCCTTTGATGTCTTGTTCTCAATAGATCCATAAATCTTTCGTCTATAAAAGGTCTGAAGGCCCACATGTAGCATGAAAACGCCATGTCACTTTCCCATCATCTCGATGCCCGAGCTGCAGACATTTCTCGAGCTTCAGTGGGATCTGGCGAGTTTTCAAATTCTCGCTGTGCTCATCGCTTCGGAAAATATTGAGAAGATGCTGACAAGAGGAAGGTGCTTCACTGGGTTTGGATGGTGGGGGTTCGCTCTCGGGCCCTTGCTATGTGGACTTTTAGGGCCTCGGTTGAAAAAGCAATTACATCATGTGCTGCTTCAAGATAGCCCCGGATGACACTGCTCTGGACTCTTTTTGTACTACATGACGCATGTGGGCAGCGTGCTGCAAGAAAGTGTGCCGAGATTGCACCCGCAAATCCACTCGATGCTGCACCCGACGATGCGACTGGGAGACCCCCTTCTTCGTTTCTGCGGCTTGCCACCTCCTTGCTGTTGGTTAGTAGGGAATGCGGGAATAAGGTACCACATGTCCCCTAAGTTGCCCGAATCCCCCAAAACCCTCAAGTCTTATTGTTCCAAGCCCCCAAACTCGCTTCTGCACGGCTGGCTCACGGCTCACGACGCGGCTAGCACGAAATGAGCCACATGCCGGCAATGTAAAGGTTAGGGTTCTGTGTTGGGTTTTGCCACGGCCCACTTTCAGGCAAGACGTGAATGTTGGGCATGTAGCCGAACCTCCCAGACCCCCAAAGGGCGGAGCCCTGCCATAAAAACTCAAGCTTTTGGCCCTAAGTCCTTACACATTCATCTAACACGTACGAGTTCCTAGTTACATCCCAAAGCAACGAGCCCCAATTGGCCCGAATCCCAAGAGCCCTAAACAACCTGAAGACGACAGCGCAGCGACACAGTGGGAAGACTTCGCACTGCACTGCGCCTATCGATGTGACAAAGCAGCGTCGTGGAATGCGCTCGTCTGCATCGACCCGAGCATTGCCGGTCTGAAGGTGAATTGTTCCGGGGTTTTCTGAGCAGCCCCCCCCCCCCCCCCGGTGCATCCTCGAGGAGTCGGCCTATAAGGCTTGTAGAGAAGCATGGATAGGGCATTTCAGTGGAATGCTTACTTAGTGTATGGATTCAGGGTTGGGATTTGGGGGGTGACTTGATTGCTTGCGTTTGTCAGCGCGAGGCTGTCGAATTGCCCGTTGACTCCGGTACCCTCAGCCTGAACCCGAAACTGCAGGCCAATCTTAAGATCGCACGGACATGCATGAACATGAACCCCAGACGAAGCCCAAACAGCTTCAGTATGATGGCTGTGATACGACAGCTGAGGTCTAGACGATGCAGCACAACATGTCCTTAAGTTTGGACGGCAGTTGCATTGAATGGCATCTGTGCGAAAACATAATGACATTTGTTCATGATGACGGTCATCTTCCCAAGTGGCTCGAAGGTGTAGGAGTTGGTCTTTGGCGTGAGTGATACGACAACCTTGAAAAGCCTACACCCTGAATATCCTGAATCTTAAGAATGCTGAGGACCCAGCGCCCAGAACTCGCAACACACAACCGCAAATTCGCAACGATGACCAATGCTCATCGTCCACGCTCAGGTGTCAAGCACGCGGCCGTCTGTCGGCCAGAGCCCCAGAACACGCTGAGGCAGCTCTGGGTTAGATCAGGCCCGCAACAGTTTTTGTCTTCTTCATTGTGTTCTTTTTCGTCTTTATCTTCTTCATGCCTATCTCTTTTTGATTAGTTGTTCTTTCTAACTTTTTTCTTTATCTTCTTCATACCTATTTCTTTTTGATTTTTTGTTCTTTCTAACTTTTTTTTGGGGGAAGCTCGTATCGTGGGGGGGCTCCTGCTGCCCAGCGGAGTTGGGGCACCCCGAGGCCCTCATGGCTGCAAATCTCAAAGGAGGGCGTGGAGGGAGTTTAGGGTTTAGGGTTTGGGGTTTAGGGTTTGGGGTTTAGGGTTCAGGGTTCAGGGTTTAGGGTTTGGGGTTTGGGGTTTGGGGTTTAGGTTCTCAGTTCTTCGGCCGTGCTTCAGTATGCCGAGCAGGAGAAGCTGCCGGAGGAAAGCTGGTGGCCACATGGGTCCACAGTATTCTAGGATGCCCAGTAGTACCCTTATTCCCTTTTTGGGGGGGTTTAGGTTCCCTTATGAACCCCTTTAAGCAAAAAAGGGCACCCTTTTTAAGCCTAGGTTACTGGGCAGCCTAGTATTAGGAGAGAGTATCGCGCGAATGCTCTCCTGTACTTTCCCGGTCTGAATTGCAGCTGATGGCTACATTCCGAGTCCCAGCCCCTCGCCACTCCACACCCTCCCTTCCGCATGCAAACCCCCAAAAGCCTTCGTAAGGTGCGGAGTATTCCCAGCTGCTTTGCCGAGTGCGACCCAGCGACAAGCCTGGCGCTTTCGTCTGGAGCCTGTCTGACAAACCGCTTCATCTCCATGTTCCAAAGCTCAGCAAATCGCGTTACAGCTCCGAATGCTTCAGATGGCAAATGCTTTGCGTAAAGGCTCAGGGTTTGGGACGCGATGTGCTGGGCCCTGGCTTCTCCTGGAGATCGGAGAACGCTTGAGCCGGCTGCATTCTTTGTTTAAGACTCAGGCCCTGGCGGGATTGGCGGGTGGGGGGGGGGGGGGTGGGAAGTGGGGTGAGGTTGAGGAAAAGGCCTGAGGCGTGGACCCTTGACTTATTTTGCAACAGGTGTGCCCAAGGCGCAACAACTTGGCTTTTGGATTCCATTCGTCCCAGGTCCATGTCTCTGAAAAGGAGGCCCGCGTGGAGGTTGGACATGGCGGGTGGGCTGTGTTTGGAGATGTTGACAGTCGCGCGGGCTGTGGGTGTCTCAGGGTGTCTCATCGAGGCTGCGTTTGACGGTGTTGATGCTGATGTGTGCAGGGTAGCGTGCTACCCGTGCCCAAATTCTGCCCCCGAGCCAAGCTGCTGGACAATGTGGCACTACTGATGTCCGTTAGGGTAGTGGTAATGAAGCTGCAAAAGAAAGATCCAAACAGACGGTTGAGGTCGTCAGCATCAGAACCCCACACCACGAACTCAGCACAATTAAGTTCATGGTGCTGGCTGCAGCCATGTACATACTTTTGCGACGAAGACTGCAGCAGTCAAACTCACCCCCCCCCCCCCCCCAAGTCAAATCATGCGGCTATGAGCCCTCATCCTTGGCTTCTTCAGTGCCATCCTGGCAGGTGTCGCAAGGCAGCGCAGCAACAGCTGTAAACTTCGACAAGGCCACCCCCGAGAGGGTAGATGATGAAGGTTGGGTGGGGAGTTTATGCTACATCCCCCTTGGGAATTTTTGGAATTATTTTTTCTTTTTTTTCATACAAAGCCCAAGGTTCTAGGGGGAATATAGGTATAGGTTTCGTAAGGCGGGTCGCATCCTTCAGCGCGGGAAGCTAGCGGAGTTGGACAGCGTGGGGAAGGAGGACTCTGATTGCGTAATTGCGAATCCAGTGAAAGAAGCCCTAAACCCAAACCCTAAACCCTAAACCCTAAACTCTAAACCCTAACTCTAAACCCTAAACCCTAAAGGTGTTGGCGGGGCAGAGGGGGGGGCTCAGGGGTTGGGGGTTGGTTGGCCTTGCGTGGCGGCCTAGCTCTAAGTTCTATGCCCATGTCCAGCACCCGAGGTCTATGCAGACAGCCAATCCGAAGATCAGCAGGCACAAGGGTTTAGGGTTTAGGGTTTAGAGTTTAGGGTTTAGGTTCAGGGTTCAGGGTTTGGATTTGGCAAGATGCTGGCTTCGGACGTTCAGTTCAGGCGGACAAGTTGTGTTTAAGTTTGCGCTTGTCTCTTTTCTTGGCACTCGTGTAGGACCTCGTCGGTTCTTTAGGGCGAGAGCCTGCATCAGGAGTCGGGAGGCACGGAAACGAACTGAAAACTAAAAAGCTTGAGTACGGGATAGGAAATGGACCCCTGATCCCAAGATCCCAAAACCAACCATGAGAAATTGATCCGCCTTAGCCCCAAAAACGCATCTCCAAAACCTCGGCACTCTAAATTCGGTCGAACCCTCTCTTTGTCTCGCTTGGAATGGAAGCACGAAGCACGAGACTCAGCCAACAAATGCAGTAGACCGGTGCGTGTTGTCATATTTGTGGCCGCCTGAATCCTTGGGGCATTGCTCAAGAACCTACACCCACGGGATTTCATCAGCTCGAGAACCATCCCTCTTAGTCATCAGTGCCTCCAATCTGGCCGTTTCTTGAACCTTGACCCCGAAGTCCCAAAGGACTAAAGCAACACAGGAGTTCTTCCGTCGACTGCAGCCTGCTGTGCTTTCCTGCTTAAGCCGCTGGTTCTGACCGAGCTGCTGTCTTGGGGCATCCTCGGGCCGAACCTCCCGAAGGGCTTGTTTCTGTTTCATTCTTTGGACGCTACCCCTGTAAACCTGAACAACAGGATAAGCCGCTTGAGGGGGTGCTTCCAGGGGGCTTTCAGCGGTCATGCGGTGAGGCTCTTGGTCGTTGTCCTTCTGGATTGTAAAAAAGCACTCACTTTTAATATTGACGCTAACGCGCCCCGCCTCGCCTCAGCCCGCATGGATGTAGCCTTTTGCTCAAGACGTGGCGGCGTGCGGGGGTGGGGGGGGGGGCATAGGGAGGTCATACAAGGGCGCATGGCAGTTCACAGTGGTCCATGTAGGTGCATACAGGATCATACAGGGGTCCACGGGAGTCCAGAGGCTCACCAGCAGTCCAAGGCACCCCAAGACTCTTGATGGCTCAAAAAGCAAACCCTGAGCCGACCCCTAACAGGACGAGAAAAAGGAGCCTAGGAGCCTTAGGCCTGAAATCGATAGCGCTCCCTACCAGTGCCGAGGCGGATCCTCGTGCACAATCCTTGCCCATGGAGGCGCGTGATGTGAATTCCATGGTTGACGCACCTCTCGAAAGGTTCAGGTTAAACGTGCCGCTTGCATCGGGGCTTGTTTAAAAAGATTCCCAAGCGCAGTCAAACAGCATTGCTTTAAATGTCAATGAGCGAGCGAACCCGTTCGTCTCTGCGTGAGTGGTGTGAGTGATGCACGATGCCACTGCGCGATCCACCGGTTCGCGACCTCCGCTCGGACGAGCACACCCTGATGCACCTCATTGCCGCGCACAATCTAGTTGACGGCAGACGCAAGCATGTCTGTGAAAGAGATGACGAGTCTCACACGAAACCGCCCTGTGGATCCCGCCGATGAGAATTCTGGGGCCCACAGTGTGAGAGAGGAAGTTCACATCACCGCGAAACATGAAGAAATGGTTGCACGGGGGTTGAAAGGATCTGAGTCAGTCGACACCAGTCAACACCCCCATTCGACATGTTGTTCGACCTTGTCCGGCCAATGCCCTTCAGCTCTACAACCCTACATTCCCCAAATTCAATATCCTCGAAGCCCTCGGCCCTCGACAGACTAAACGCAAACAAACCAGAACCGGATGCCCTAAATTTAGAGTAACCCAAGAATCCTGAAACTCCAAACTCCAAAAGCCCCCAGCCCAAAAGTCCCGCAACCCGCAAAACCCAAGAGCCGTAAGCCCTCAAAATCCGAAGCCCTCACGGGGTTCTGCCACAAGAGCATCCACCCACAGCCCTTTAGCCTGAAGAATCCTTAATGAATCCTTAATGACCCTCAAGCACCAAAAAACCTCAAACGTCTTTAATAACTCAACCACACTCAACAACCCTAAACCCTAAACCCTAAACCCTAAACCCTAAACCCTAAACCCTAAACCCTAAACCCTAAACCCTAAACCCTAAACCCTAAACCCTAAACCCCAAAGCAACACTTACCTCAAGGACCCCAGAGTGGCAAGTCCTATGCCCTCTCGGGGCTCTTTACGCCCCGTTCCCCAGTGCTTGAGGGCAGATGTTTACAGTTTCAGGAGTTTAGGGTTTAGGGTTTAGGGTTTGGGGTTTGGGGTTTAGGGTTTAGGGTTTAGGTTTCGGGTTTCGGGTTTGGGGTTTGGGGTTTAGGGTTTGCTGCGGCCGTTGGATGCACTCCTGCCGTAGTCATTTGTGCAAGGTATTGTGGTGTACCTAGACAGTTCAGACGAAGTTGCCCTAAACCCTAAACCCTCAACGCTAAACCCTAAACCCTAAACCCTAAACCCTAAACCCTAAACCCTCAACCCTAAACCCTAAACCTCAACCCTAAACCCTAAACCCTAAGCCCTCAGCCCTAAGCCCTAAGCCCTAAGCCCTAAGCCCTATAGCAAGCCTGAAATGGCATCGCAGGTGTCGGATGCTGTAGGACCTTCAGGTTTCTTGCATTGGACCTTCATTATGCCGCTTGTGACTTAAGCCTTTGCAGGACTGATCGCGCGAAGACGCGATGGGGTTTGGATTTTACCCTAAACCCTAAACCCTAAACCCTAAACCCTAAACCCTAAACCCTAAACCCTAAACCCTAAAATCAAAACCCTAAACCCTTAGATTTTCGGGCCTGGGGTTTGGAGCCTGATGTTCCAGCTCATGCTTGGAGTTCGGGGCTCTTGGCCGATGTCTTTCTTCCCCCCTCCCAGTGCTTGTAACTTCAAGTCCTTGACCCAACAACCCCAGTAGGGTTTAGGGTTTAAGGTTTAGGGTTTAGGGCAGCAATTTGACAAACCCTACTGTCAGAGGGTCCTACACCCCCAAACCCTGGAACCCACCCTATGCCGGACGAGGTCAGGGGAGCTCCACGGCATTGCACCTCGCGCCATACAAAGCATCACGGAGGCTTGTAGTAGGAGAGCAGGATGGGGGGTTTCCGATATTAGGGTACCTTATTGGGGTCCTTATAAGGGGATCGTTTGGGGGCCCTTATTATTGTAAACCCCCATTTCTCAAAACCTTGCTTGAAGCACACAGCCCTGAGATGGGCCATACTGACTGCCAAGGCTCATTGCATCAGCGAATTGTCGAAAGCCATGAAAGTTCATGGGTTTAGGGTTAGGGTTTAGGGTTTAGGTTTTAGGGTTTAGGGTTTAGGTTTAGGATGTCTTCGCTAAAGCAGTTTTTGGGTTGAGCTTTAGTCCGCTTGATTCTTCCGAGATGCCAGGAAATGGAGCGGATGGGCGACTCTGCACCTGCAGCTGCCTCCTCATCGTACGTTGTGCAGAGGTCGAGTAGCGAGGTTCATGCCGCGGGTGGTAGGAGTCTCGGCGTCTCAGACAACAGCGTCGACAGCAGAGAGTTTAGCCGTTCTAAGGGTTGGGCAAACCCTACACCCTAAACCCTGAACCCTAAACCCGGTCTGTCACATGAGAATTCTTCAGATTTGAAGGCGACCACACGGCTCTGGTCGGACCAGGTCCCGTACGTGACGAGCTGTCGACAGCTTTCCCTACTGGGAGGTTCATGGTACATACCAACTAATGATAGCTGTACTTATGACCCACTAATTTGCCCCCTAAGTGTCCTAATATGGCTATAAGTACAGTTAGAAGTACAGCTATGGTTAATAAGTACCATGAACCTCCAAGTAGAACCGCCATCTGGACTTATGCCTCATGAGGGCCTCACCCCGGCGAGCAAACAAGCCGGATTTGTTCATGGTCCCTAAACCCTACACCCTAAACCCTAACCCTAAACCCTAAACCCTAAACCCTAAACCCTAAACCCTAAACCCTAAACCCTAAACCCTAAACCCTAAACCCTAAACCCTAAACCCTGGTCGGTGTTGTTCCCACGTTGTCTCGGCATGTGGATGTATGTATAGCCTTGACCAGTCTGCAGACCGGTCTTCTGAACCTTTTCCTCTCCACTGATGGATGCCACGCCCCGGGTAACTCTACCCAAAATGGCCCTCCTGTGAGCCTTGCCATACGCCGGCATGGATGGCACGTCGTTGCCAACTACTGTAAGCATCCATGAAAGCCGGCAAATGCTTCCAAGGGCCGGACCGTCTTCCTAAAGCTGGAAGTTCTTCTCGTAGATGAGAATGTGACCGCGTGCCAGGTGGATCTTCTGATTCTTTGTTTACGCTCTTCTCACCACGCCATTGTACCCACGCACTTGCGTGAAGTCGAATCTTCCTTGTTCCCACAGCCCCGTCCGTTCCTTCACCAGTGCCTGTCGCTTTTGGCTCCACGTCAATTCCTTACGATTCACAGGACTCGATACCATAGCATTGACGCATGTTCGGATCACCGGGCGGCTTGGCGTTCTGGGAGCACAGGCTCGGCGGTGATTCCTAAGCAGGGCACAGGCGGAGAGAGAGAGAGAGAGAGAGAGAGAGAGAAAAAAAAAAAATGCCATGCTCCCTCTTCACAAGCCTTTGTTTCAGATCGGATGACCTTGTGGAGTGGCAGCAACATATTAGCACATGCTTTTAAAATTCCGAGCAAGGCTTTAAAAGTTCTCCACCAGAAGCAAAAAATAGAGGCAAGAAGGCACCCCTTATTGCCGTGGCCCTCAGGTAGAAGCGTCCTTCTTCGAACTGCAGCAGGACGCCCTCTCTGCAAGACATGCAACATCATATTTTGTACGCATAAAAGGCCCGGGAGATTCAGCAGCGGACCTCTGTGGGCGAAGCGTTTTCGAGTTTTTGGTTCCAGGTCGCAGTGTGTACTAATGCTGTCGGGGGCCGAACAGAAGGCAACATCGTGACCACTACACAGGTAGGGAAGACTGAGATTGCCAGGATCCCGTAGCCCTTGTAGTATTACTCCATGGAAAAGCAGATTAGATCTCACATTTTCAACCCCCAAGCTGAGATCCCGAAGCCCGAGCCCGAGCCTACAGTGAGCAAAACGACGAGCTGTGAGGACTCGGCCTGCGACTTGCTCCAGAGCGGCGCCCCCCGGGCTCCCCGGATAATCTGGTCGGGGTGTCGTACTGTGTCGCTGTGTCTCTGTCTCTGTGTGTGTGTGTGTGTTGAACTTTGGTGATCTTCAGGCTTCCCCATCTCCTATCAACAGCCCTGAACCTTACCCGGTGATTTTTTTGGGGGTGGGCGGGGGGGGAGGCGAAGGGAAGGGGGAGGCGATGGGGGGAATTCACTCTGAAGTCTCTGAAGTCGATTCAACATTCAGTGTTACGTGAAACGTTGTAGAACTTAGCGCAATTTGCTCGCAACTTCGGACGACCTTACTCAACAAGGCTGCGAAGTTTCATCGAAGGCGGCCGAGAGGGAAGTACAGTAGGACCCCTTGACAGAGGCCTTGAAGAGTTCTAAAGCATAAGCTTGGTTGCTGTGGGGGCTTCTAGATGACGTACCACACAAGTTGTTCTAAGCCTAAATCTTCCTTAGCGCATCCCGCAACAGCAGTTCTAGATTGGATCACACAACATAACATACAGATATGTACAGTGTACAATATAATACTATGTACCATATTCATATTCAATGCAACATATACAATATACATTGTAGACAATATACAATACACATTACAATATACAGTATCCAATATATATATATATATATATATATATATAGTGCAGAATGCATAAAGTATGGTATACATTGTGCCGTATATATGTATATATATATATATATTAGATTATGATTATTATTATTACTACTACTAGTTGTATTGTTCTGACTATTACTAGTAGTAGTATTCGCATCATTATTGCTGGCGCTCCCCTGCTCTAGTGCCGAGGTGGTCTTGCGGGAGACGTCTTCTTCTCCCTACGTCGCTGCTCGTCGGCAAATCGTCACGAAAGCTGGCGTAGCCAAGCTTTTGCTTCGGCAAGGAACCGGTTCAAAGCCGTTCGAGTTGCAAAACGAGTGATAATGTCGAGGAAATGGGGGGGGGGGGGTCAGCATATGTCAGCATCGAATAGTTCAAGGATTTGTTTTTGGGGTGGAAGGGTTGGCTTCCTGGATTTCGGAGAGCTCAACGTACCGCCGCCACCAGCAGCAGGGGCAGCAGCACCACCACCACCGCCACCACCACTACCTCCCAAACACATCACCAAAACAGCACACACCGCCACCGCACACCACCACCACCACACAATTGTTGTGTCTTCGCTTGCCATGTGCGCTTGTTTTGCTTAGTGGTGCGTCTGTGCATATTCTTTGCGGGTATTCATTGGTGCGTCATCGCTTACTTTATGCGATTGTTTTGCTTGTTGGTGCCTCTTCGCTTACTATGTGCGATTGTTTTGCTTATTGGTGTGTTTTGCTTATTGGCGCATGTTCGCTCACCGCGGTTGGCGCGTCTCGAGATTTATGCTGTTGTTTTGCTTTTTGGTGCGTCTTCGCATCTTTGTGCGGTTGTTTTGCTTGTTGGTGCATCTTCGCTTACACTACGCTTTTTTTTGCTTTTTGGCGCGTCTTCGCGTACTGTCACATTTTTGCTTGTTTGTGTGTCTTCTGTCTTGCTGAAATGACCGACAATTTGGCCTAAACGGAGTTGTCGGCTTTCCCTATTAACAGCGTAGGCCGAATTGTCGCTGCTGCTGCTGCTGCTGCTGCTGCTGCTGCTGCTGCTGCTGCTGCTGCTGCTGCTGCTGCTGCTGCTGCTGCTGCTGCTGCTGCTGCTGCTGGGGGCGGTGGCGGCGGTGCCGGCGGTGGTGGCGGTGGTGTGGCGGTGGTGTGGAGGAGTGCGGAGGAGTGCGGAGTGCGGTGGGGCGTGATGGCTGTGTGGTGGTCGTGTCTGTCTGCTGGCATGTGGAGTGTGGTGGTGGTGGTGGTGATGGTGAAGATGGTGGTCGGTGGTGGTCGTGGTGATCTCTCGTGGTGTGTGGCGTGTGGTGGCTGCGGTGCTGTTCGGCGTGAAGGACACGCACCTATCCGCACAGGCGTCAATTCAGGCTAGCTTTCGTTGTCCTCGGCTTTGCCCTTCAATCAGAAGTTCTACTTGTAGGATGAAACCCGCAACCATTTGCCGGAGCTGTGAGATCGCCCAAGCTTGCTCAGAGCAGATTTGGTTTCCAGGGTAGGAGAGATGCAGAGTCCAAACCAAAGAGCCGGTTCCAACCAAGCCTGGCGTTGTGTTCATGACTTGCCTGACATCCACGGTTTCGGAGAATAATGGATCTGGAAATAGCAGAGTCTTACCCAGCCTGTGTTTCTAAAAGGCTCAGAATTATTCGTAGAAGCCCTGGCAGCGGACCCAACAACACTAGTAGACCTTGAACTTTGGGATAGGCGCACTCAGGTACTGGACCAGTCCCTCTTCAGCATGAGGCGCAGCTGTGATCCTGCACCGTTCCATCCCCACTCAGGGTCTCAAACCATCAAGTTTTGGGTATCGCTCGCTGCTATAAATTGGAATGAGACGTCCTTAATAGAGATTATAGTAGGGGGTACGATAATCCCTATTAAGGACTGTTCGTATACCAACCATATACCAACCCAGTTTTGGGTATCGCTCGCTACTATAAATTGGGATGAGACGTCCTTAATAGAGATTATAGTAGGGGGTACGATAATCCCTATTAAGGACTGTTCGTATACCAACCCATAAATAGTGATTTCTTCGGGGAGGGTTTAGGGCCCCCAGGCAAAGCAGAGCCCTATGGTCGCCTTTTCCTTTTGACTTTAGTCACGCGCTTCTACTCTTGTGTCGTTCGGCCCTTGTTCACCACCCTCGGTGTAGGGTTGTCAGTTAGATTTTAAACTCACCCGGAAATCTTCTCCTCGCCCGGTCTACTCCTCACTCATCCCTGGAGTGCCCAACCCCAAATGTCCCAACCCCAGAGCCCTGGAGGGCCCAACCCCAGAATGTCCCCAGAGTGCCCCAACCCCAGTCTCCCTGGAGTGCCCAACCCCAGAGTCTCCCTGGAGCCAACCCCCCAGAGTGCCCAGCCCCAGAGTGTCCTGGAGCGCCCAACCCTAGAGTATCTCTACCAAGAGAGGGTGGGGATGTTCGAAGTAAAATAATTTTCGATTACCTATTATTTATTCGTGCCTTTCTGTCGGATTTGTCTGCTCACGTCCGCATGTGCAAAGGGCAGAGCCAGTCAAAAGGATCATACGTTGCCCGAGCCCACTCGCAGTCCGAAGAACCAGCGCAGCTGCGAAAACCTTCAAGGGCACACCTCGGATCCGAAGCACTCTCATCCCCCCAGAAGCCCGGATATCGCTGAACCCCAGCACCCACATGCTCGTGTCGTGGGGCTCTGAAAATCTGGGCAGAAACGTTCCTAAGGAGCCCTGAGCCCTGAGCCCCCGCAGGTGCGACGGTGTGACGGGCTTCAACCGCCTGCTGGATGCTTACTTCACAGGCGACCCTGGCATGTGGGGAGGGCCGAGCCGATTCCCTGCCTCCATTTTTGACTGGGTTAGGTGGTACGAGTATGAAGATCGATCGGCTCTCTGCCGGTTTCAAAAGGAACTCTTTTTTTCTCATGCCAATGGACACTCCGTTCTCTCATGGTTGGGTCCATCTACTCTGGAGATGTGACCGTTGCCGCTGCTTCTAGCAAAGTTACGCCTCTTCTTGATTGAACAGTCTTACTGATGGCCCGACGCTGGCTTTCTCAAAGCCTTTAAGCCTGGCGGCAACATCGTCTGGCCTTGCAAAGCTTGCTCCTTGTTTCCTTTGCTGCTTGCTCGCTTGCTTTCTCCCTTGCCTGCTCCTTTGCTTGCTCCTTCGCTTGCTTGCTTGCCTTGACTTTGTCCCCAATTGCTCTGCAAGAAAATGTGCCGCTCTGCATGGGTTGTGCAGACCTCAGCAGCTAAGACACAACAACCAAAGACACCCGACTGCTTAGCCTCAGGCAGCCTCAAAATGGCCCCTCGCATGTTCTCACAGGTTAAAAATCTGCTCCGGTCTCCCACAGCGTTCGGTGGGCGAAGTGTGCAAAAGATGTTAACTCGGTTCCACTTGAACGTCGAGCGCACGACGTTTTACCTGCATGTGAAGCCAGACCCTAAACCCTAAACCCTAAACCCTAAACCCTAAACCCTAAACCCTGAACCCAGGTAGTTTTCCCAAACCCAACAAGAATCCCTGCCACGCACAGGCCTCGAGCATCGGAGACGCGGAAGTCACAGCTGCTTCCAGGTACCGACCCTCCTTGCCTTTCAGCCGATTTCCTATATCCCTTTGGGAAGTATTTTTTTTGCTGACATAAAACCCAAGAGGATATTGAAAACATTATTTTTATTCATGTTCTAAGGGGAGTATAGTTTCTGAATTTGAGATCGTGGGGTTCAGGGCTAAGGCTCGGGATGCGGTCCTATCAGCTGCGGGGTTCGTGAGGCTCGTGCTTGCCGCAATCCCTGCCGATGGCAGCGTTGATCAGCAGAGGATTCTTGAGGTGTTGCTACACATGGAAGAGCAGTTCGAAGCCAATCTTAAGCCAAGCCCAGAAGTGCTCACTGAGACTGTGTGCCTTGTGCCCGACCCTGTACACCCTCAACCACAAGGAAAAACCCGGTAGAAACAAGTCACTCGCATACCCCACATGCGCGATAGCTCACACCGCCTGAAATGTCCGGCACGATTCCGGTGTGCGCTGGGCTCGAGATCGGCATTATGTGAGATCTTTAGTTGTCTTGAGTTGTGTTCAGATCATGTAGGACCATGTAGGACCGCAGTCATGTCATCTCATGCCCATTCGCGCCAAATACGGTATGGTGAGCATGCCCGAAGCTGAGTATGGGCGTGGCGC